ATTATTATTATTATTATTATTATTATTATTATTATTATTATTATTACTAATGTCTTTCAGTTAACCCAGGGCACTGATGGGATTATATAATAACAATAGTAATAGTAATAACCGCCCCGAGTCCCCGTTGGGGAGATGGTGGCGGGGTATAAATAAAGTTATTAATTAATTAATTAGCCCAGGGCACTGATGGGGATTATTATATAAGAACAACAATAACAACAACAACAACAACAACAATAATAATAATAATGAAAGGCCATGGCAAACAGTTCAGTTTTCCAGCGCTTCATCGTATTTTCAATAAAATTGCTACCATTTTTACAAATCCCGATGATGTCTAGGTACTTGATGATCCAACTGTATGCAAGTGAGTCAAAGGCTTTTTGGTAGTCAATCCACGTCATGTGAAGATTATATAATGAAATTATTATTATTATTATTATTATTATTATTATTATTATTATTGTTATTATTATTATATCTATCAAAGGTTAATTGGGAGTAATTATTATTATTATTATTATTATTATTATTATTATTATTATTATTATTATTCTGGCAATGTTGTGCCCATTGCCCGCCCTTGACCCTTTCAGAAGTCGCACCGCATTGATTATTATCACTAATTAAACGGAGCGGCCGATGAAACGAGCCTCAGGGGCGCAATTGGCCCAGAGTTTAGTATGTATGGATTTCTCTTCCGTCCTTTTGCCCTTGATGCCTCTCTTTGATTAGATCCCCAACATGCCGGGCATCGCCACCAGCTTGATCCGCTTCTGGCTCTTCTGGCGCTTCCCCGCTGACCACGACAGGATCTCGTATCGGCCGCTCCAGGCCTGAGGACACTCTGCCGGCCGCCGAGGACCCAACGGATGGTGCTAAGGGCAGGCTAGATGCCCTCTAGGGGGGCCCTTTTTGCCTCCTGCTTGGACCCTTGAAGTGCTAGAGCGAAGGCCCTCCTGTTGCAAACGACACCAAAGCAATTGCACTTTTGGAAGCACTTACTTTTTTATATATATATATAAAGTGCCTTGCAATTAATAATAATTAGAAGGGATCGTTTTCTGAAAATCGGGGAGCTTTTCCTCTTTGGTGGATTTTTTTTCCTGGAGAGAATGACTATTTGGGGTGTCCTGGACCTTTTGGTGCTTTCCAACATTATTATTATTATTATTATTATTATTAATGGCAGAATGGGGTTGGACTGCATGCGCTTTGGAGGTCCCTTCTGACTGTAAGAACCTTTGATTCTATAGCCCTATTTCTCCACAAACCTGTGAATATTTATGAAGGCCGGATGGCCATCTGTCGGGGTAATTTGATTGTGTTTTTTTCCTGCCGGGCAAAGAGGGTTGGACTGGGTGTCCTTTGGGGTTCCCTTTCATAATAAAACATAATAATAATATGATATTATTGTTGCATTATTTGATTGTGTTGTTTCTGCTTGGCCAAGGTTAGTTGGACTAGATGTCCTTTGGGGGCCCCTTCCAATAATAAGAATAATAGCAATAATAATATTAATAAATAAATAAATAAATAATTTTTTTGCTGTTATTATTATTATTCCATTATTTGGTTGTGCTTTTTCTGTTTATTCTTATTATTGGAGGTCCCTTCCAATAATAATAATAATAATAATAATAATTCTAAATAAATAAATAGATTTTTCAATTATTATTATTATTATTTTATTTGGTTGTGCTTTTTCTGTTTATTCTTATTGGAGGTCCCTTCCAATAATAATAATAATAATAATAATTATTATTATTATTATTATTCTAAATAAATACATACATTTTTGCTATTATTATTATTATTATTATTATTATTACATTATTTGGTTGTGTTTTTTCTGCTTGGCAGAAGGTGGTTGGACTGGATGTCCTTTGGAGGCCCCTTCCAATAATAATAATACTATTTATTTATTTCTAAATAAATAAATATATTTTACTATTATGATTACTATTATTCCATTATTTGGTTGTGCTTTTCCTGCTTGGTAGAAGATGGTTGGACTGGATGTCCTTTGGAGGCCCCTTCCAATAATAAGAATAAGAATAATAGTAATAATAAGAATAATATTATTACTATTTATTTATTTATAAATATACTATTATTTGCTTCTGCTTTTTCTGCCTGGCAAAAGAGGGTTGGATTGGATGTCCTTTGGAGGCCCCTTCCAATAATAATAATAATAATAATAATAATAATAATAATAATAATAATATTTATTTATTTATAAATATTTTTTACTATACTATTATTATGATTCCAATATTTGGTTGTGCTTTTCCTGCCTGGCAAAAAGAGAGTTAGACTGGATGTCCTTTGGAGGACCCTTCCAATAATAATAATAATAATAATAATAATAATAATAATAATAATAATAATAAATTGGTATTATTATTATTATTATATTGGTAGTATTATTATTATTACTATTATTGCATTATTTGATTGTGCTTTTTCCGCCTGGTAGTACAGGGTTGGTTTGGATATCCTTTAGGGACCCTTCAATGTAAACGGAATATTTTATTCCATAATCTTTTTTTTCTCATGAACCTGCTAATGCCTATGAGGCTGGGTGGCCATCTGTTGGGAGGGTCTTGGGTTGTATAACGCATATTGTATTAGTATGTTTATGTTTATTGTGGCGTTGGAATTATTGCCGTTCTGAGTCCCCTTCAGGGTTGAGTAAATACAATAAATAAATCAAATACAGTAAATAGGGTTGGACTAGATGGTCTCTGAGGGTCCCTTCCAACTCTCGGGTTCTATAATGCCACTCCCTTGTGTTCCAGAAGCTACCTGTCTCCGGATATGGCTCATTTGTAGTCCTCACGTGCTAATTACCTAGTTCTCCAACTTGCTCCACCAGCTGTATGAGTGTTTATTAAATATGCGCATAAATTAGGGATCTTGGATCCTTCCCAGGGACACAGGGAGGGCCCCAATGATGGCGGTGCTTGGGATTTCCAACCCTAGGAATGTTTGGGTCTATAGCTGTATTTGTCCACGAACCTGCGAATTATATTGGAAATCGTACTATATTATATTGGAAGAAAGCTATTTAAATAATAATAATAATAATAATAAATAGAGATGAACTAAATATTAACGGTATTAAAAATAAATAATATTGAAAATAGGCCTAACTCTACTATATAATAATAATGATAATGATAATAATAATAATAATAATGGTAAATAGAGATGAACTAAATATTAATGGTATTAAAAATAAATAATATTGAAAATAGGCCCAACTTGTACTCTATTATATCCCATATGCTAAAATCTGTATCAGCTTTATATTAATATCGGAAGACAGCTCTTAAATGTAAACAAAGAGAAGACAAGACCGAATGCAACGTGTCATAGTTTTAATATATTACAAAAATAGTATTTATTTCTTCCCAATGTGTTTGCCGGTTGCTTGAGAGTTCTGGTTAATTGAGGGCTGACGGCAATAGTGGTTCGGCGGGGCAAAATTGCCAGGAAAGTGCACCGGCTGCACGGCAGCAGATGCAAAAACACACCCGGAGGTTGCTTGCAAAATTGTTTAGATTGCAATGTTTTTGCAAAGCAAGAGGGAGACCCTTTCTTCAGAGCCGGAGCCCCCGCCGGGCCAGGTCTTGCTTGGCTTCCCGGATCTGGTCCTGCAGCTCTCGAGCGGCCTCCTCGCAGTCGTTGAAGGTGGCCAAGCGGAAGCCCACCACGGCCAGAGAGTAGCAGCCAAAGGACACCAGCAGGTACGCGGGCAGCGGGCGGAGGACCTGGGGCCACGGGGCCGGAAGCGGGCGCAGGTCCAGCGGGTCCAGCGCCAGGGCGGCCCACGCCACGCCAAAGAGGCCCAGGCCCCACAGGCAACGCAGGAGCTTCGTCATGCTCTGCAAGGAAGACGAGAAAGAAGGCTGATCGCGCACCAAAGAGTTGGAAGTGTTGCATTCTAGCACTGAAGGCAGTGTCTTCATAGACCTGTGAGCAGCTTATGATACCGTAAACCACCGCCTCCTCCTGAGAAAAATGTATGATATCACAAAGGACGACCACCTCACCCGCCTCATAGGAAACCTGCTACAAAACAGGAGCTTTTTTGTTGAGTTCCAGGGCCAGAGAAGCAGATGGCGGAAACAGAAGAACGGCCTGCTTCAGGGGAGCGTGCTCGCTCCACCCATATTCAACATCTACACAAATGACCAGCCACGGCCAGAAGGGACAGAGAGCTTCATCTATGCTGATGATTGTGCCATCACCGCTCAAGCAGGGAGCTTTGAGATGGTTGAACAGAAGCTCTCCCAAGCTCTACGTGGTCTTACTGCCTATTACAGGGAAAACCAGCTGATCCCTAATCCATCTAAAAGACAGACATGTGCCTTTCATCTCAAGAAAAGACAAGCATCCCAAGCTCTGAAGATTACCTGGGAAGGAATCCCATTGGAGCATTGCAGCGCACCCAAATACCTGGTAGTCACCCTGGACTGTGCTCTGACCTACAAGAAGCACTGCCTGAATATCATGCAAAAAGTGGGTGCTAGAAACAATATCATACGAAAGCTGACTGGCACAACCTGGGGATCACAACCAGACACAGTGAAGACATCTGCCCTTGCGCTGTGCTACTCTGCTGCTGAGTACCCATGCCCAGTGTGGAACACATCTCATTATGCTAAAATAGTGGATGTGGCTCTTAATGAGACATGCTGCATTATCACAGGGTGTCTGCGCCCCACACCACTGGAGAAATTACACTGCTTAGCCGGCATTGCACCACCTGACATCCGCCGGGAAGTGGCAGCCAATAGTGAAAGGACCAAGGCAGAGACATCTCCAGCTCATCCCCTGTTTGGGTATCAGCCAGCACGTCAACGACTTAAATCAAGAAATAGTTTTCTAAGATCTACAGAGACACTCGTTGGAACACCTCAGCAAGCGCGAGTCCAAAAGTGGCAGGCTCAAACCTAGAACCTGAAACCAAAGGAGAGACTCCCTCCTGGGCACTCAGAAGACTGGGCGACTTGGAAGGCGCTGAACAGACTGCGCTCTGGCACCACGAGATGCAGAGCCAACCTCGAGAAATGGGGCTACAAAGTGGAATCCACGACATGCGAGTGCGGAGAAGAGCAAACCACTGACCACCTGCTGCAATGCAACCTGAGCCCTGCCACATGCACAATGGGGGACCTAGGATCCTATAATAATACAAACTGATAATGGTGAGGATGGCATCTCTTCCCCTGGAGGAGGCTGAGTGGCCATCTGTCAGGAGGGATCGAATTGTGTCCTATTAATATATTAGCAAAGCATACAACTTAAAACAGAGTGGGAAAAGCCCATTCCTTCCCAATGGGAACAGCACTATCTTCCTCCCTTTGATTTGCAAGCCTGGCTTTGGAAACTGCAAACAGAACCAGACCAGAACCTGGACACATTCCACTTACCTTGTTTGGCTCAGCTGCGCATGCGCACTGCTTCTCCTCCTCCTTACACCGGCGCGTGCGTGACGTCACCCACCCGCTCCTCCAATCACCGCCTCCGCCTGCCTAGAGCGGCTTTCGTCTTCGCCAGGCGCCATTTTGGTCCCTCGTCGCGCCCGTGACGTCACTCCCCTCTCCTCCAATCACCGCCTCCGCCTGCCTAGAGCGGCTTCCTTCTTCGCCAGGCGCCATTTTGGTCCCGGTTCTGGCTTCCCAACGGATGTAAACAACGTCTTCCACGTTCAGAAATGTGTTTTTTCCCCCCCAGTCTGTATCCTTTGGCCTTCCTTTTGGAAAGGTGTGAGTGTGTGGTTCCTGAGCATGTCCAAAGTGCTTTTCCCAATGTGAGATAGCTTTCCTAACCTGGTCTAGGCCTGGGCCTTGTTTACACTCCCTCACAGTGGGGTTTCCTCCCCCCCAAATGCCACGTTTCAGAGCCCAGGTTGTCCATATTCAGAATATCCACACCTGGAATCACACTGTGTCCAATTCTGGGCACCACAATTGACTCTAAGCTGGAATGTGTCCAGAGGAGGGCGACTAGAATGACCAAGAGTCTGGAGAACAACCCCTATGAGGAGCGGCTTAAAGAAATAGGCATTTATTTATCGTGTCATAGCAACCATATCATTGTATTACATTTCTAACAGAACAAAACAAACAGATTAAAAAAAACAGATTTTGCAAACTTGGTAGTGGATCAAATGTCCTTTGACCAGTATCAGTCCACTTGGAGTGTCTCTGGTGTTGCCGCAAGAAGGTCCTCCATTGTGCAGGTGGCCGGGCTCAGGGTGCATTGCAGCAGGTGGTCAGTGGTTTGCTCTTCTCCACACTCACATGTGGCTTCCACTTTGTGGCCCCATTTCTGAAGGTTGGCTCTGCATCTCGTGGTGCCAGAGCGCAGTCTGTTCAGCGCCTTCCAAGTCACCCAGTTTTCTGTGTGCCCAGGGGGGAGTCTCTCATTTGGTATCAGCCATTGGATTTGAGCCTGCCACTTTTGGACTCTCGCTTGCTGAGGTGTTCCAGCGAGTGTCTCTGTAGATCTTAGAAAACTATTTCTAGATTTAAGTCGTTGACATGCTGGCCGATACCCAAACAGGGGATGAGCTGGAGATGTCTCTGCCTTGGTCCTTTCACTATTGGCTGCTACTTCCCGGCAGATGTCAAGTGGTGCAATACCGGCTAAGCAGTGTAATTTCTCCAGTGGTGTAGGGCGCAGACACCCCGTGATAATGCGGCATGTCTCATTAAGAGCCACATCCACTCTTTTAGTGTGGTGAGATGTGTTCCACACTGGGCATGCATACTCAGCAGCAGAGTAGCATAGCGCAAGGGCAGATTTCACTGTGTCTGGTTGTGATCCCCAGGTTGTGCCAGTCAGCTTTCGTATGATGTTGTTTCTAGCACCCATTTTGCTTGATGTTCAGGCAGTGCTTCTTGTAGGTCAGAGCACGGTCCAGAGTGACTCCCAGGTATTTGGGTGCGCTGCAATGCTCCAGTGGGAGTCCTTCCCAGGTAATCCCCCAGAGCTCGGATGTTGTCTGTTCTTAAGGTAGAAAGCACATGTCTGTGTTTTAGATGGATTAGGGATCAGCTGGTTTTCCCTGTAATAGGCAGTAAGAGCACCTAGAGCTTTGGAGAGCTTCTGTTCTACCATCTCAAAGCTCCCTGCTTGAGCAGTAATGGCACGATCATCAGCATAGATGAAGCTCTCTGTCCCTTCTGGCAGTGGCTGGTCATTTGTGTAGATGTGGAACATGGATGGAGCAAGCACGCTTCCCTGAGGCAGGCCGTTCTTCTGTTTCCGCCAACTGCTTCTCTGGCCCTGGAACTCAACAAAAAAGCTCCTGTTTTGTAGCAGGTACAGTACAGTACATACATTATAATAAAACACATAGCGATACCAAAAATAAAATACATAAAATGTAATAAAATAAAATAAAATAAACAACGCAGACAATATAGAGCAAGCAATTAAAAACAGAAATTTCACTGGGCAGGACCACATTCAAAGCTATTTTTTTTAAAAAGCACTGGGAGATAAGACAATATAAATTATCAGAATAAGGATCCGAGAATGAGGGAGGATTCAATTGCATGAGCCACAAATAAAGTACTTCTAAGGACATTTAGTGCAAAATTTGGCCAGGGAGTTTCTTACGTTCAATCACTGAAGGCACATTGGAATAGTCAGGTTTTCAAATTCCTCCTAAAGATTGCTAGTGTGGGGGCTTGCCTGGGGAGTGAGTTCCAGAGCTGGGGGGCACCACAGAGAAAGCCCTCTCATCCCCAAAAGTCGCACTTGAGATGAGGGTGGGAGCGAGAGAAGAGCCTCCCTGGAAGATCAAAGAGACCGTGTGGGTTCCTAGATGGTGATACGGTCGCACATGTAGGTGGGTCCCAAACCGTTCAGGGCTTTGTTGGTCAAGACCTGCAACTTGAATTGGGCCCGGAAGATAAAACTGCTAATGTCTATGAGGTTGGGTGGCCATGTGTCAGGAGGGTTTTGGTTGTGTCTTCCCTCATGACAGAAGGAGGGATGGCATCCCTTCCAACTTTAGGACTCTATCGATCTGTTACGACCAGAAGAGTTGGACAAGATGGCTTTCTTGGGTCCCTTTTCTGTCTGTCTGTCTGTCTGTCTATTGTGGCAGAAGGGGTTGGAGTGGATGGCCTTCTTTGGACCTCCTTCCCATTAGGAATCTATCTATCCATACATTAGTATATCTGTGCAACAGTTTATCTATCGATGTATCTATCGCTATCTATTATGGCAGAAGGGGGTTGGACTGGATGGCCTTCTTTGGGGACCCTTCCAACTCAAGGATTCTATCTATCTATCATGGCAGAAGGGGGTTGGACTGGATGGTCTTCTTTGGGCCCCCTTCCAACTCTAGGATTCTTTTTATCTATCATGGCAGAAGGGGGTTGGACTGGATGGCCTTCTTTAGGTCCCTTTTCTATCTCTCTCCTCTGGATGCTTTTAAGCCGGTGCAGGATGGCCAACTGTCGGGATGGCTTTGATTGTATCCTTCCACCTGGCGTATGGGGGTTGGACTGGATGGCCCCTGGGGTCACTCTGTGATTCTAGGATTCCGTCATGCCAGTGGTTCTCAACCTTCCTAATGCCGCAACCCCTTAATACATTTCGTCATGTTGTGGTGACCCCCAACCATAAGATTATTTTGCTACTTCATAACTGTAATTTTGCTCCTGTTATTAATTGTAATGTAATTATCTGATAAGCAGGATGTATTTCCATTCATTGGACCAAATTTGGCACAAATACCCGATATGCCCAAATGTGAATAGTGGTGGGTTGTTTTTTTTTTTTGGGGGGCGGGGGATTGATTGATTGATTTTGTCATTTGGGAGCTGTAGTTGCTGGGATTTATAGTTCACTTACAATCAAAGAGCATTCTGAAATCCAGCAACGATGGAATTGAACCAAACTTGGCACACAAAACTACCATGGCCAACAGAAAACACTAGAAGGGTTTGGTGGGCATTGACCTTGAGTTTGGAGTTGTAGTTCACCTACATCCAGAGAGCACTGTGGACTCAATTATGGATCTGGACCAAACTTGACATGAATACTCAATATGCCCATATGTGAACACTGGTGGAGTTTGGGGAAGATAGACCTTGACATTTGGGAGTTGTATTTGATGGGATTTATAGTTCACCTACACTCAAAGAGCATTCTGAACCCCACCGACAATCGAATTGGACCAAACTTCCCACACAGAACCCCCATGACCAACAGAAAATACTGTGTTTTCTGATGGTCTTTGGCGACCCCTCTGACACTCCCTGGTGACCCCCGCAGGGGTCCCGACCCCCAGGTTGAGAACCACTGCGTCATGCTTTCCTGTCTGCAAGGCCTCTTTCGTGCCTGGTCTTTCCACTTTGTGCCAACGTGGGAATAGGCTTCCCAGAGAGGGGCCTCTTTCCCACCAGCCTTTCCTTTTGCCTCCACCTTCCTTTGTGAAGCCGAAGCCAGGACTCGTTTGCTCAAAGCGCTGGGAACTGACCACTCTGAGGTTCCCACTGACCGTCCAGCCAGTGCCTGAGACACAACATGGACTCTGTGCCAAGGTCCCTGGACGTTTTTATGGGGCCTTTCCTCAGAGTTAGGTTTGCTGCTTGACGCCGTTTCCAAAGGATGGCGTTGGTGCCCAAGCGCTGCCCAGGGAAGGGTGGTTTTCCAGGCCAGAGTCCTCCTGACCGGCCCCTCATGGACGCCCCCTCTGTTCCCACCATCAGTGCCCGATTCCTGCAAACGCGGGCATAAACAGCGAGGTTTCTCACTCTGTGGCAACACCTTGGCAGGAAGCATCTGTTTCCCTCTCGAGTCCGGCTTTGGCCTGGGAGAAGGACGCTGGCCAACTCACTCCAAAGAGGCCTGGAGTGAGTAGTTATTATTCAATAGATAAGTTTCCTTTATTTCCAAGCTGGGAATAGAAACGGGAACGGGTTTAGTTTTTGGAAACATCCGGACATTTCCCCAGTACCGTTGTCTTATCTATCTCTCTATTTATCCTGTCTGCATGGTAGAGTTAATGCAGTTTAGCGCCACTTGGAACTGCCATGGCTCAAGGCTAATGGGATCCTGGGAGTTTGTAGTTTTCAATAATAGTAATAATAATAATAATAATAATAATAATAATAATAATAATAATCAACACCACACAGTCCTAGATGCTTGGGAAGTGTTCGATTTGTGATTTTGTGATACTAAACCCAGCATATAGATCTCATTTGCTGTGACATACTGTGTTTTATGTCAGTAAATAATAATAATAATAATAATAATAATAATAATACCCACCTCTCCGTGCAGCTCAAGGAGAGATACAACATGTTAAACAGATCCAAACGTAGTAAGGTAAACGTAAAGGTTTTCCCCTGACCTTAAGTCCAGTCATGTCCAACATCTGAAGGGGCCCCCAGAGGCTATCCAGTCCAACCCCTTTCCGCCATAAAGTAATGAACCACCCAAAGGGATTAACAGAGACCATCCAGTCCAGCCCCTTCCTACTATTACTGTGATATTAT